TTTCTTTCAGGCCATCCAAACTTTGACGTTTATTTACAATTCGGTCACTGATCCTCGTTTTTTTATTTATTTCAATTCAAATTCTTAATTTTAACGAATATTCAATTTATTCACTATTCTGAAATTGGTATACTTGGTTTAAATTAGTCCGTGAACTATTATGTATGTTTTCATTTAGCCCTTAGATTAATTTTTTTGTTAATTAGAACTAAAACTATTTTGTTTAATAAAATCGTTTGGTGATTTGTAAATAATTAATTAGTCTTTTAAGTTAATTTTGTATAGTTTTAACATAATTTTATTTGTTTAAATGCATGTTTGTTTTTTATTTTTAATCTATTTTACTTATTTTGTTTTTAAGGTTAAATCCTCTAGATTCAATTCTCTTTACTTTATTCCATAGTTAAAGTCTTAGATTTCAAATTTAACTTCTAGATTTAGATTTCTCACACGTTAGTCCTTTAATTTTGGGAGAAATTTGAATTGGCTCTAGCATTAACATGCCTGAGGGACCATTTCGATTATTCGACTCAATAATTGGTTCAAACAAATTAGGATTAATATTAAAGCCTCTACTTTAGGTTTAATTTCATTTTAGCCATTTAATTTAGGGATTAATTTGAATTGTCTTGCATTAACATGCCCGATGGACCATTTCGATTATTCGATTCAATAATTGGTTAAAAAAATTTGGATTAATCTTAGAACCTTCATTTTTAGGTTTAATCCTTTAGGTTCTTTAAATTTCATAATTGACATTTTAAGTTAGAATTTGCCTTAATTAACTTACTAGTATAATTAGATTTTAAAATGGTTGTTTGATTGCATCTTGGCTTTAAAATAACAAGGCAATGTTCATTTATCAAAGAATTAATAGTATATACTCCGCGTTATGCTTAGGGTTTGATCATTGGTAATTCCCGAAGTAAATTAACATTCCTTTCAAATCCCCATATGATTTCTCAAACTTTAAGGCAATATTCGTTTATGTAGATCAATAATGAAGCTTTCGTATTACATGCTCTAGGGTGATTGTTATTGGTCTTAGTAAACCGACATCGTTCTTCAAGCTTGACATCCATAATGATTTTTAAATTAAATAAAACCTTGAACTCAAAATTTTCAATTTTAAAACATAGGGTAATCAACCATGTATCAATTTTTGGGTGTTGTAAGGGGTGCTAATAATTCCCTACGCGTAACTAACTCCCGAACATGATTTTTGGTTTTCACAAACTCAAATTTGGTATTTTTGATAAAATAAAATGTTTTATTAAAAATATTCAATTTTAGGTGTTTCAATCGAACCTTAAAATGATTGAATGCAACTCCTAACATTTCATTCCAAAATATTTTCAAAAACTTCATCATTGCAACTAGTCGACGTTTCCTCCAAAAGGTTGATTACGACGTGTATACTTTTTACATTTGACTAAATAGTCATTTCGAATCGCACTTTCTTTGAGTAGTTTTTACCCAAAGTTTCATTTTAGGAGAAATCAATTTTAATGTTTGACAAATAGTCATTTTAGTCTTTATTCTACTGATTTTTGAAGTATTTAAATCCTCAACATTTTATCTTAGGACAAAAAATTCATATTTTAAAGCGTTAACAATTAGTTAACTATTGATTTTCATCCACGAAATAATTTTTATCCCAAAATAAAATGTTGAAGCAAAAATACTAAAAAAAAGTATATGCCAAAATAATTATTTAATAAGGCATTGTGACATTTTGTTATTTTATGTCTAATTTTTCCAATATTTTTTGTTTTAATATTTTTTAAAATATTTATTTTTAAAATTTTAGACTATTTTTTAATTTTTTATTAAATACTTAAAATTTCTATAAAAATCAATTATACCTTCAAACTTTTATGTCATAGTCATTCATATAAATTGTCATGTAAGTATATTTTTTTTTGTTAATCTAAGGTAAGTATAAGACAATATTTATTCAAAGATAACTATCAACCTTTTGATATTAAATGCTCACACCCCTGACATTTATTGTGCTCGAACTCGGGCCCTCAAAGAATAACAATAATTCCTTTACAAATGAGGCCACTTGATTCGTTCTCATGTTAATATCTTAAATTATCACATCAGCAAAGTTAACTAACACATGAACAACACATCATATCAATACAGTTAACTATCACATTAATAACATAATTCTCAAAAACCATTTAATTGATGAAAGAGTATTCAAAAACTAAATGAATACAATTAAAAAATGATAAAATTAATAATAAAAAAAGAAAACATAACTAACTTGAGCACATTATAAAATAAAAGGTAAATTTTACGTTTAGTATTTAAACTATTAGTTTTGATCTATTTTAGTACCTAAATTTTCAGTTTTGCAAAAATTATACCTAAAGTTTAGTTTTTGTTTCATTTTAGTACCCTGTTCAAAATTTAACGTTAAGTTTTGAAAATAAATTGAAAGTTTAGGTACTAAAACAAACCAAAACTGATAGTTTATATACTAAACACGTTAAGTTTTTAACGGTGGGTTTTAAAATGAAAGAAAAATTAAACGTTAGGTTTGATTTTGAAAAAAATGAAAGTTTAGTTACTAAAATGGACCAAAACCGATAGTTTAGATACTAAATGTGTAGTTTATCCTAAAATAAAATTGGCATAATACAAAACACTCTAACATTTGACAATAGTGTCAATTTGGCCCTTATTCTTCTTTTTTGGAGCATATTACCCCTCTTCGTTTCATTTTGAGTCAAAAAGTTCCATCATTGGATAAAAATGTTAGTCAACTAACGGTTAACAATTAGAGTTAACTCAACAAAAACATGTGGAGGGAGATGTTAACGTAGTGTGTACATATCATAGTAGATGATGATGTGGTAGATCCACGTTGACTAAATATTGACATGGCATGTCCACATGTGATGTCACATCAATATAAATATTTTAAAATTAATTAATAATAAATAATTATTTTTTATTAAACTAATAGCAACCAATTAAATATTGCCACATGGCACCATTTTTAGTTAAAAAAAGGAGAAATTAAACCATCATGCATAGTTTACCCAAAAATAAAATTAGCATATTGCAACAAAACACCTCTAATGTTTGATAATTGTATCATTTTAGCCTATATTCTTTTTTTTAGCATATTAGCCCCAAACGTTTCATTTTGAGTAAAAAAATCTCTAATTGGATGAAAACCGTTAATCAACTAACTGTCAACGCTTGGAACTAACTCAGCAAGAACATGTGGATGGAGATACGGACGTGGTGTGCCCATATCATAGTAGATGATGACGTGGTAGATCCATGTGGACCAGATGATGACGTGGTAGATCCATGTGGACCAAATGCTGACATGGCATACCCAAGTGTAATGTCATGTCAACAAAAATATTTTAAAATTAATTAATAATAAATAATTATTTTTATTAAATTAATAGTAACCAATCAAATGTTGTCTCGTGGCATCATCTGATTGGTTTAAAATAAAGCGAAATTAAATTATTATATGGAAACATTTTATGTGATTTGAACCTATATCTAGTGGATAAAAGAACCACCAAGCCAATTCCCTTAGATGTTATACTTGGACTAATAATATTATTTAGAGTTTATTGTAGCTATCAGAACCACTACAATAACTGCCACACCCGATCAACACCAATATTTTAAAAAAAAAATGTGAGTTAAATTTAAATTGTTAGAATTATACAGTCAATTTAAATATCTATTTTAAATTTCAATTAATTTTAAATTTCTAACTTTAATAAAAAAATAAAACAATTTAATCTTTTATTTTAAGTTTATTTTTTACTAAATTAAATTATATACTCTCTAATTACAAATGTCTTATTTTTATAATTTAATCTTTTAATTTTATTTAGTTTAGTTTCTTTCTTAATTTTCTTGCCATCAATTCTTTTTTTCAAGCAATTCTTACTACCAATTCTTTGTTCCTTTGTATTTATTCATTTATATTTTCAATCCAAATTTAAAAAATTACAATAAAATAATAAATTTATACTATAATTTAAGATAATATTTTATTTATTAAATAAAAAATTTACATGTAAAGAAATATAAAAATATATGTTTATTTCATTTATAAATTTAATAAAATAAATTTTATAAACTTAGTTTGCTTAAATTTTTTTATTTGAATATTTATTTTTGAATATAAATAGAACATGTGTCTATAAAATAATTTTTAAAATATAAAGAATTGAATACATTGATTGAACTTGGCCTCTGTATACTCTCAATATTGTTATTATTTAGTTTAATAAAAATTAAACTTGGTCTCCGCATACTCTAAATAATATTATTTAGTTTAATAAAAATAGTGAAGGGATTTGCTTGATGGAAGTGCTAAGCCTTTGAATCTAAAAGACCCAAGTTCAAACTTTATGGCGATGATAGTTTAATTTCTCCATTCTTCTAAACAAATCAAATGGTACTATTAATTTAATAAAAATAATTATTCATTATTAATTAATTTTAAAATTTACTGACATAACATTACTTAGAGACTTACCATATCAACATTTAGTTCACATGATTCTACCACATCATCAGCTACCATTACCTACATATCATGTCAACATCTTCTAACACGTTCTTGTGGAGTCAATTCTAGAGGATAATCGCCAATTGACTAACAGAGTTAATCTAAAGAGGGGTTTTTTACTCAATAGATCGTTGGGATAATAAGCTCCTAAAAAAGAACAGGGGCTAAATTGACATTATTGTCAAACGGTAAGAGTTTCTGTTGCATTTTGCCAATAAAATTATCCTTGAACCTATTTAAAATTAATGAATAGTTAAATTAAAAAAAAATCTAATTAATACTGAAACTAAGTTCGGTTCCAAGATTTTATTCACTGGATAACAAATAGTAAAAATAAAAAATAGAAAACCAGTTTCAGGCTTTCAGCAAACCTTTAATTGAGATGAATCTTCATTTACCTACAAAAATGGCATCAACATAATTTTTAAATAAATGTACTAATAATTCAGTCTCAGCTTATAGTGGCCACCAAAAGACTATCAAAATCGTAAAGTTTACTTTAGCCTCTTCTAACTGCAAGACTCACTCGCTTTCCCTCCACACAAAACTTGCTGCTGCCTTCGAGCTGTGCACAAAGATTCATAAAATAAAGTTAACAAAATGTTCATAAAAACGGAAAGAACTGTTCTAATGTGAGATGAGAACACCTTTCCCTTCAAGTAGGCGATAGCATCTTTCTTGGAAGAAAAGTTGGAAAAAACCGAAGATGATTGCTCATCAATAAGAACTTTCAGTTGTTTTAGTTTTAATGAATCTCCAGGTACCTGAAGTGAGAAGATAAATTATTCATTTAGAGAAACACTTGCACCGTGATTCAAAACACCTTGCATTTTAAATCAAGTACCTGACGAAGAAGCCGTTTACACAGCTTTTTCAACTTTAGTTTTGGTTGATCATCTTTCTCTGTTTCTAATGCATCATCACGTGTTCGTTTTGGTGGAGAGCCGACATCATCAGAATCTTCACCATCACTATCGCTAAATGACTTCTTTTTCCCCTGAAAGTGAACTCCACCTATTTTCTTTGGTCGATCCTTGATGCCCAGACCCTGTTTTCCAGTTGTGGCTTTATCCTGGAATTTTGAAATAAAAAGACATTCATTCCTTTAATCTCCCAGTCTCCAACATGCTACTAGATTCATATAACATTAAAGCATGTAGAATAATAATCGATTAAAACACCACTTCAGATGGAAAGTTACATTGGAAAGGGAATTATGATTTTTTGCTTCATCATGCAAATAACTGTGGGGCAGTTTTCATAAACAGAAAAAAAAATGGCAAAGAGACATACTTGCACAAGTTTGTAGAGATTCTCTTGGTCATCTTCAAAAAATACAGTTCTTTCAGTTGAAATTTTTGACACTCCAGTTTTCAATGATTTCTTTCTCGTAGACTCTCCCAGAAAACCTCCAGAAACAAATCCATATTTATAGCCCCACCAATCCGGAGAAACACTCTCAACTTTGTTTCCTGTGACAAAGAGCTAAATTTCTCAGTAATCGATCAATGGCAGACAGCTACAGCAGTAAAATGCAAACAAGAGAAGAGAGGTCATGAATATTCTTTTCCAGGAAAAGACAAGTTTTTCAGGTACAAGATAATATCACTAGGGAAAAAAAGCGTCTTTCCACCTTCAATTCTACTGCAAAAACTACAAGAATTAACAAATTTTCTGAACATAATGCAAAGGAAAATGGCACCTTACTGCAAGAATTCACTCAAGTTTTCAGTATGAACTGGAGTACAAAAGCCTTTCATCAATTTACTTGTAGTATTACCTTCAGCGGAAAAACCATTAGTCTCAGTTGGCTCTAATATCTCCAATTCACCACCGACATCAGGATTTACAGGCAATGACTGCTCAACCTTTTTGGCCTATTGCAAAACACGTATGGTAAATAGCGTGATTCTTTCAACCTAAAATACCAGTACATGTTAAAGATGTGTCTAATCAAATACTAATTCCTAGGGGAAAAGAAGTATTTAAAAGTATGATTTGATAATTCTATCAAACGAAACAAAAATCTGCGTTAAATGAATATTTCAATTTTCACATGATGTAAGTTTCTTCAGCATTTGACCAAAACATATTGAATCACTATGTTTTTACAATGCATTGTGTCCGACTTTTTAACTCATTCAGAGATGTCTAAATTTGTCTGAAAAGGTGAGTGACTAGATGGTGAAGGTAGCATGGCATCTGTCTCTAGTGCTAATATGAAACAATGAACATATTGCTTAAGTATCATACAAGTATACTGACAATTCAACTCACAACCACACCTGGTAAAATGAAAATACTCTTAGTTTATTTTTTCCTAGAGCTCTCACGAATTATAACCAGGAAAACCTTGTTGAGATTAAGTTGGACGTCATTAACAAAACAAATTGGAATAATAATTGACAAGTGAACACATTTTGAGCCAAATATTTGATGTATTACATTTTGATCTGATATACAATTAATTTGCATCTTGAAAGCCAACAACAAATATTACATACTCATGTAATGTATAAAAAGACATCATTGCCCCAGCTTCAAACAAGTAAAAACTTTTAACAGTCTAAATACTTTGAAGAAGACATAGGCCATAAGACATAATGAAGTTTTAGAACTTACAAGAATTCCTTCAAGATCCTTAGAAGAATATGCATTCACAAGCTTCCCTCTCTCTCTTTTCTTATATCTAAGAAGCACAAATAACATCAAACATTAATTAAACAACCAGCAATAATCTCTTACAACTAAAAGCACAAGCAACTAATACACCAACCTTCCCTGGGGTCGAGTAGCCTTAACAACTTGTTCTTCAGCATCATTAGCCGCATCAGCCTCAGTTTCTACTCGATTTTCATTCTTTTCCGCTGTTCAGTAAAATTAAATTACTTCTCAATCAATATCATTCAAAGTTCTAACCAAGTAAAAATATGAGAATAAGTTTTCTTTTGGCATCAACCATACCTTCATCATTGGTTTGCACTGCTTGCTTCTTTAAAAGAAAAGAAAAAGATAATTAGCTAATGAATCAAAATTAACACAGTACAAGGTGAAAATAAGATTCAAATTCGCACCACTTTCAATCCTTTGAGAATACTATCAAACTGAGCAGTATCGAACGCCCACGGATTAGGTTTATCTAATCCAATACCTGCTCCAAAATTTTCAAATATAAATAAAAATACAAGTTTAAAAGTATTTTTTTCATCCTCCAATTCTAATTCTCCAGCAAGTACTTCAACATCCATACGTAAATAAACAAAATCAAACAACTAAACAGACAGACAAACAGACCCAGAGAAAATGATTATTATAAGGAAGAAACAAAAGGATTAGATACGAACCAGCAGTATCCTGCTTGTTTTTAACTCTAACGTGACCTTTGATCCCTTGTTTATCTTTACCAAGCCCTTCTCCTTCTTCCCATCCCTAACCGGGCCGTTCAAACAATAAATAAAATAAAGATCACAAAAAACATACGTAGATACTTTTATAAGGATAAGTACCATTTGCTTCATAAGACGAAAAGCGGCAGATTGGCGAGCGACGCCGACATAGCAGAGAGGAGCTTCCGGTGAAGCCATTTTGGCGTCTTTTTTCTCTTCTTCTTCCTACGCCGACGAGAATAGGAGAAGGTTACGGCGGAAGGTTTTGAAAGAGAACCCTAGGTTGAACCGAGGGGGATATAAAATGCAGTGCTTCCAGAATTCATGGAGTTTGATGGACGTTCGATGATCAAGAGGTGGATATTTAATTGAAAGATTGTGGTTCCTCTTAATCACATTCTGATTGATCTGTTTTACGTTGTGGATTTCACCTACCAATACCATTCATATATTTGATACGGTGTCGTTTCATTGGTTCTTAAATTATTTTGTATTAGATTAATTTAGGGTAAAATATGCAAATAGTCCTCTAATCATATAGTATTTTGTAGGGTAAATTGTGCGTCAATACCTAAAATATCAGTTTTGGTCCATTTCAATATCTAAACTTTAAATTTTTCAAAATCATATTTAAAGTTTAGTTTTTGTTTCATTTTAGTACCCACCGTTAAAAACTTTGTTTTTATTTCATTTTAGTACCATGTTCAAAATTTAATGTTGAGTTTTGAAAAAATTGAAAGTTTAGGTACTAAAACGGACTAAAATTGATAGTTTAGGTACTAAATGCTTTAAGTTTTTAACTATGGGGTACTAAAATGAAATAAAAACTAAATGTTAGATATGATTTTAAAAAAATTAAAATTTAGGGATTAAAACGAACCAAAACTAATAGTTTAGGTACTAAATATATAATTGTCATATTTTTAATCTTCAAATTATAAAAAAAATTATAAAATAATCATATTACTTAAAAATGATAAATTGATTCTCTTTCGTTAAAAATTTAATGATAGATAATATAACAGATAATAAAATACACATAATAAAAAAAATCTAGTCCTCAACTTCTATATTTTATTTTAACTTGATCTTAATTTTGAAAAATAATTATAAATATATTAATATTTTATCAATTTAATATTTTTTTAGAAATCCTTGAAACAATTGATTTTTTTGGGTGAAAGATTGATATTTTACATCTAATGATTAGTAGTGTATGTACCTCTATTAGGAATGGATGAATTACTTATCAAATGTTAGGTTGATAAAATTGCACTGAAATTCATCTAATTTTGGGTTTATTTAAAACCTTCCCTCCAAGTTTATGATAGTTTGAACCATCGAGTGATATTACTGATAAAAATGAATATTATTTTTCTTAGAAATCATGGGTCCGAGCGGTTATGTCTGAAGGGTGTATGTGCATTGTCATTTGATTAATAAAGTTCTGAACAAATATCACAATTTAATCGCTTCAGACTGTTCAAAATTTATGCTAAATTAAATTTTAATTAACAATAAAATTTTCACTGATCCACTTTAAGTACAGTTGAAAGTTCACCATTTAATCCATTATTCTTTCTATGCCTGTAAATGAAACAAATAAATATGAACGAGAATATGTTCATGTTCGTTCGTTTAACTTCAACTAAACAAACAAACAAAATTTCTTCTTTGTGTTCGTTTATTAAGAAATTTAATTTGTTCGTGTTTGTTCATGTTTGTTCGTTAAAATGATAAACAAATACAAACGAACGAGCATAAACAAACAAACATAAAATTAATTGGATTTACATTTGAGAAGATTCTTTTCTTTCCAAATAGTTTTAGGATTTTTTAATTGATTTGAGTATTTTTATTTGGGCTTTAAGATATTAATGGGTTTAAGGTTAAAATTTATTAAGTCTTAATATTTTAATCAGGTTTGGAGAATAGATCGAAAATAAACGAACAAACATAAACAAACAAACATAAACAAACTAACATACATGAATATAAACAAACATAAAATCTTTTTAATGTTCTTTCGTTTAATAAACAAACAAACATGAAAAATATATTTCATGTTTGTTCGTTTATTGGGTTTAAGGTTAGAATTTATTAAGCCATTTGTTCATGTTCATTCATTTAATTAAACGAACATAAAATATTTTTCATGTTCATCCGTTTAATAAATAAACAAATATAAACGAACTCCCCGTTGAACGATTCATGAACGGTTCGCTGAACGTTCGATTCGTTTATAAACCTAATTGTTTCCTACTCCTCTCGTAACTAATGGTTCAATTCGTCAATCAGCAGCCAATCTCAAAATATAATTATTTAGTGGTGATGACTTCAATTCATCGAAACGAAATTAAAATATAATATTAGATATAAATTAAAAAAATAATTAGGTGACTAAAATAAAATTAAAATAATAGTTGAGTGACTGAATATATAGTTTACCCTTTAATAAATTGTTGCAAAAGGTATATATGTGTGTGTGTGTGTTTTTTTTATAGAAATTCGTTAGTTTTATTAAAATAGAAAATATATAGAATTATAATGAAGATTTACAAGTATAACCTTAAACGTAAACTAAATGATAATTAGGATATTTTCCTTAACCATTGACACAAAAACTAGCCATCATATCACACAATGACCAAAAAGGAAAATGTTAAAAAACCTAACAAATGTTTGAATAAAATAAAGATACGAACAAATCTGACTGCATCGACAAATAAACTACAAAAGTGGATGAAACTACTGAAAGCACCGACAAATCGTAAATCAGAGTCAAGCGACATGAGAAAACTATCCACAAACGTAAAACATGTATCCAAATCAATTCAAGGGTCCAAAGCATGGAAGGTCAGCATTATAACAAATAAGTGTCATCTTTATTAGTCGTGACGATGCCAAATCTAATCCTGAGAAAAAAGATAAACAAAAACAACAACCACATGATCGAAAAACTACCAAAAGACAGAGAAAAACATGTAACAAAGAAAGAAAGAAATGTGCCATAAAGGCCGAGATAAACATGTCACAAAGACAAAATTATTCTTATTAAAAAACTAACAAAATAAAGAGAAAAGAAAACCAACAGTAGACAATCAGCATCAAAACTGGTACTATCATTGGCTAAACAAAAGAAAAAAAAGAAAAAAAAATTGATTTGATTTATAAAAATTAGCATAAGTTATAAAGGGAACAGAAAAAAGAGGAAGAGAGGGAAGAGAGCGCCAAAGGTGTGTATGTAGTGCACTTTTGGATAGTTATAATTTATAAACTTTTTCCCCGCTATATTTCGTCTGTATTTCTTTTACTCTTGGTTGCATTATCTGTTTAAATTTCCAATAATTTGATTTTGAATAGAAGTATGTAGAGATTAATATGTGGCGGGATATGTGCTACTTAACTGTGTTGTGGATGCAATATCGGGACTGTTAAATAACAAATCTCTAGTTCTTAATATAAATCACACAGCCGCTCATCTTCTCTAGCATTCTCCACCGTCGGTAACAGTCTGGTCACTCTGACTGCTTTCTCATATGATATCATTCGCCAACGATCTTGAGACTATTTTCTTTCATTGCTGCCTTTCTGCACTGTCTTCCTTTGTTGTCGTTGCTGCTGTTGGCACCGCCGATTGCTTCATCTACCGCCTTTCTTTGCATGGTAATCAATTTGTTTCCTCCTCTATTTTCAATCTTTGATGGTCTGGAATTGGCTTCTACTTGTTCAATGGCATAAGTGTTTTAGTTTGGTTGATAACAATAGTACCGTTTTGCCAATAATTGTGTTGCTTAGTTAATTTCAGTTTGGAATTTTTCATTGTATGATTTCTTCTCCAAGGTTGTAACACCCCCAACCCGTATCCGATCCGGATACGAGTCCGAAATGTCACATTGACTTTTCAAACATTTATTCGTATAAAATAGTAAGTAATTTAAAAACTTTGATAACATTTAACTTATTCAAAACGTTTACAAAATATATATATCAGAGTTCATACAATTTATATCTTTAGACTACATGCCAACTACACTCTATAATCAGTACATATATTTTCTGATCTGACATTTGGTAAGGAGAACTGACCTGTCTTGCTCCGCATTACTCTTTACTCTTCTCGAAACCTACGTGTGAAACAATCACACGCTAAGTCGAAGACTTAGTGAGGCATAACAACTTATAATGCACTTTATAACATATATCAATACATGCATGTTCTGTTCTATCATGTTATACCAATTCCATGCATTCTTCGTATCATATAAAAAATCATATCAAATTAATTACAGTAAATACATACATACACATAATTCATCATTAACAGTTTATCATGTAATCACATACTTTTATGGTTAACCTTTTCAATCAAACACTATACACACCCAACATCATATCATTTCTATAACATTTATCATACCACTAACATATATTTGTTCATCTCTCTGGATTAGCCCATGTACATATGTGAGAACTATCGATATGTGAGTCTATAGAGGTTGTGCACTAATGCTGTCACCACAGCTCGTATAATTGCACCGAAGTGCCGCGTAGAATTGCACCGTAGTGCCGCGTAGAATTGCACCGTAGTGCCATATAATAATGTCCATAAGGACCACATATTATTCCTTAAGAATCATATACATATACTAGGGATCAAGTATGTGTCTTACAAGACTTCACACATGTTCCACAGAATATATATATATCCCGAAGGACCGCGTAGAATTGCACCGTAGTGCCATATAATAATGTCCCTAAGGACCACATATTATTCCTTAAGAATCATATACATATACTAATGACCAAGTATGTGCCTCAAAGACCTCATAAATGTTCCAAAGAATATACATATGTCCCGAAGGACCGCGTAGACCCTCGACTCTTGGCATGCCAACTATACCCCTAGCTCTCAGGACACATAACATGGGCATTATCATTTATTTCATTTCAAATATTCACATAAACATGTAATTCACTTTCACATATCACGTATCACATAGCTTCTTTTCATATTATCACATAGTCACATAGTTCACTTACGCGTAGATCATTTTCCATATAATTCACATGTCACATATCTCATGTTCTTGTATAATTTCTATCATTTCTTTCACATATCACGTTTATTCATGTAAACATACTTATCATATCTTGTTCACATAAGATCATATACTTCATATAACATATAGAAACACCTAGAACACTTTCACGTAGCTTATATCAATTTTCAGAGTCCTTTCATATTATCTGATGACATATATCATATAGATATATAATAACTGATATCATATTATCTACCTTATGCTCCAT